GCATTAAATAATAAATAACTCCAAAAGCCTTCCATGAGTGAAAGCAAAGATCTAAAAGAGAGTAGTGAGGTTAACAATGAATGTGTCTTTTAAATGCCATTCTGCCTGTAATATTTCACTCATAAGTGCACCTGTAAGTAATCTACACAAAAATACTTACAAAACAAATGCTGACTCAGCACAGCAGATTAGCAAGCAGCAGGGTCTGAGTAGCTGAACGTTAAGAGCTACTTCAAAAACAAACTAATGAGTTTCAGGTAACTAGACTAGATTAAGGGTGTTGCTACTTAAATGAAATGAAGAATAAGAGTGGGTCAGCAACAGTGACAGAAAAATAAAAAAGCATTTTGAAAGTATTTAAGTTAAAAAGACAAAACAATGTAACAGCCATATGGAAGTGCTTCCTAATTTCATTAAGGAATGCCAGTAGTACTCTTAGAAGAACTGACACCCCCGTTAACACTTTTTCAGTTTAAGTGAATTCAGTAGCAGCTTCTGAATGACCTGATTCATCTGAAAACTTCACTAGCCTGACCCAACAGCTGTGGCACAAACCCTGCAAAATTGCAGAGCTATCCAATAGTTTGGGACTCCACACCTTTTCCACATACCTTTAATATTCAGAAACTAACAGAGACCATCAGGTTGATTTTCTAGCCCCACGACTGTCTTGATTTCTATCACAGAGTTTTGTGAATTAGGTGGCAAGATAATGCACCATAGATTCCATGCAGAGCTCTAGTAAAGGGACATTGAAACAGTCATTGGCACATGTACCTGGGTGGAGGTCATTCACTGAATGGCAAGCATGTCACTGTTTCACAAAATAACTTTGAATCCTTAGTGTCAGATAAAAGGGAACATCAAGGAAGAAGTTCAAGCTCCAGGCATTTAAAAGGGATATGGTGACACAATCCTTTCAGAGATAACTCGTTTACAGCCAGTAACATTTCCAGAAGACACAGAGTAAAGCAAGAGACAATCAAGCTTGCAGAATGATGGAATAGCATTCAGAGCATATTGTTGCTTCCTCTTGTTCTCTTGGCTTTAAATTCAATGCAGGATTTTATAGTCCCTTTGCACAAAGAGATGACTATATATTTTCTCCATAATCCTGAAGCAGTCTTTGTCCTATACGTTGTGGATATGTCTCTCATGGCTTATAGATGACCTTGCTTCAGTGAGATAAAGGCAGCACACCCATCTCTGAGCAAACCATCATCCAAACCACCAGTTCTGAACACAGTGCAGTTCAGGAGTGCATTTCACTCAGGGCATGGACAAGTGGGATCAGGGAAACCAACTTCCACTGGTAGCACAGGCTCCCTGTCACTCAGAGCAAGCTCAGCTCCAACATACCCTCAGCAGGGCACAGAACAGAGCAGAGGGATAAATAAGATTTGACACTTCTTTGCAGCCCCTCCACCTCCACAAAGCAAGACACTCACATTGGGAGCTGTTGGATTATAAACTGAGGAAGATATCCTCCTTCTGCATCACTCCACTTGATAAAACCAATACTGAGCCACACTTTAAGGACTGTGCAAGGCAAGGAATAATTAATCACATCTGGAGATGAGCAAGAATCCAGGCCATGATGCAGCAGGCAATGTAAAACGTTCCCTGTGAGAAAACGCAGCCTGGGAAACTGGCACTCTGCCCTTCTCAAAATCTCAAGTGGTATTCAGGGGCAACCTTATTAGAGGATGCTGCAGTACTTCCACTGTTAAGCAGTCACAAGCACAGCACACTCAGCTCCCAAAGTTCATGGTATTAAAATAATAAATTAGAAACACTTGTCTCTCTGCAGAAGTGCCTGCAGCACAGTCTGGGACAAGCAGCAGGAGGCAATGACAGTGCAAGAGAAGGGTACAAACAGCAGGAGAGAAATGTCAAGGCTGTCAAAGGATGATCCAGATAAACAAAGCTACTCTTGACATGAACTCACAGGCTGTAGTGTGACATCATTATGAGCCTTCTGCAAGAGCCTTGCCTGTGAAGCTTCTGCCTGACCCTTTCACACAGTGTGCAGGTCTCTGTGGTGAAGCCTTCTGTGAGACTTTTTAAAGGTCTCCTTCCATGAGGAAATGAAAATATTTTTTTTCACTGTGCAAGACATAAATTTCAACTCAATCCCACTTTAAATTCTCTCTTGTTACTCATTCTGAACTATGTTAAGCAAATCAACATAGTTCTGAAGTCCACAGCACCGTGTTCTAACTGTAGTATGGTGATTTTCAACTGTGCTCCAGCTGTGTGACTGAATAATGTTCAAAGTCCCTGAGCATACTAGTTAGCACAGCAGTTCTCAAATATCTACTACTTGAACATCAATCAGGTGAGATAGAGAGAGATGTACAATCTAAGAACTCACTCTAACTACACTGACTAAAATTACCAAGGCATACATGGCCCTGAAATTCCACTTCAGGTATCTAATATTATAATGTCCTAAAACCTGGGAGTGTTTTACTCTATCCTGCATCAATAAAAGAGTAATTTCTGAACAACTTCAAAAAGAGAAACAAAGTAATTAATAATTCTCAAACATAGCTGATGAATCTTTCACAGTCTCCCCACCATAAACACAGCCACATATTGCTATACATAATACTATTTATACTATCGAAGGAAAGGGGCAAGGCCCAGAGTGCTTCAATGGCCTCAAAAGGGATAATTTTGTAAGCTCATGTTTAGCTTCTAAGAAGTGCCATGTTCTTCATTGATCAGCTTTATACTATTTGGACACTTAAATACCTATCCCAATGAAGCAAACAGATGGAGGAACTGCTGGTAGCTACTTTCTCCAGAAGAAATCAGGAGGCTCATTTTAGCTATCCAATTTTGAAAACCTTATTTCTGAGTTCCCCAGGTGGGATACCAGAGTTTAAACGGTGGAACTGCCAAATAAATCTGCTCAGCATTGAATACTTTTGAGCGGGCTAATTCAGTTGCTAATGAATGTCTGTAATGATGACAAGGTTCCTGATTAAGAGCCACTGTGCATTTTACAGGCACAGCCTGTATAACCAACTGATCTACAGGCAAGTAGCAGACTTTTCTTTCAGAGAAGCAGGCTTCTTTACATCCAGCTGGAGCCTCTGGTATGAGAAGGCCGTGGGTCACAAGAAAACATCTCCAATCTTCAAATCCAACTAGATATAACCAAAGAAAAAGACAGGCAACTCCTGGAAACTGAGGACATATGGTAGCCCTACCCTTGTGCAATGTCTATCAAAGACAACTAGCTTATAATACAAACAGCAATGCTGGTGCTTCCACAGAGACAAATTTATAGAATCATAAAATGTTAACGGGTTGGAATGGACCTTATAGAATACCTAGTTCCAATCTTCCCTGCCGTGAATAGGGAGACCATCCACTGAATCAGGTTGCTCAAGGCCTTATCCAACCTGGTCTTGAACAGTGTCAAGGTTGGAGCATCCACAGCCTCTCTGGGCAACCTGTTCCAGTGTCTCACCACCTTCACAATAAAGAATTTCTTCCTACTATCTATAACCTAAATTTCTCCTCTTTGAATTTGAGCCCATTACTCCTTGTCCTATCACTACAGCTCTGGATGGAGAGTTCCTCTCTGGCTTCCCCACAGGCTGCTTCAGATACTGGGCACTTGCTATGAGGTCTCCACACAACCTCACAGCAACCTCTTCTCCAGCTTGAAAGGCCCAATTTTGTCAGCCTGTCCTCACAGGGCAAACCCTCCAGTCCTCTTATCAACTAAAGGCAGCTTTTTGTTTGGCCTTATTACATACTTAATAATCACTTATTGTATGCCAGAGGGCATAATGTCACAATGAATCAAAGTTCACCCATTAAAATCTCACCTACATGCTCATTCCCTCTTTCCCCCAAAGCAACAGTGTGTCTCAAAGTCCACATCCACACACTGTCAAATACTCATTTCTGGCAAGAATACCTTGAGTGCAGCTTTACCTGTTAGCAGTTCGGACCATATTCTGAAGCTTTGAAGAATCAGAGCGAAGCATGACTTTAAAAAAATGTATCATAGTGGAATGAATTTAAACATGCTCTTAAAATGCTAGCTGTAAAAATGCACCGAATTGCTGAAAGTATGCATTCTGTTAAACTCTGCCCTTCCTACAGATCTTACTAGTAAATAAATAACAACAGTTACCTCAATGCAGCAGCTGGTGTCTGTGCCACAACAGAGTAGAAAAGAGCAGTGTCAGTCAGAATTCAGCTGCTATGCAAAAAAGATTTTTATGCAGCTTTAAAATCATGTTGTAAAAAGATAAAAATATTTACTGTTTATAATTGTATCACTGAACAACAAATTGGACCCTACTGAATTAGATTCTGAGCAAACACAGAGTAAAGAAGAGGTGCCTATTCCAAACTGTGTCAAGCCACTTAGATAAGCCTGTGCTTAGTACAGGTGCTCCATCCTTTAGACACGTAATAAGGTTAATGATGCATATTAATAAAGCTCACCTCTCAGGTCTCAAGAATAGTGCCAAAGCCACAATACTGTTGGATAGCTTGGGAAAGCCAAAGAAACCCTGAAAGCTTTGCTGTGCAGAACTGAAGGGCAAGGCAGGGTGCAAGGGTGGCTCTAAGCAAAGCACAGGGCAGGAGGCGGGGAGCCAGAGGCACTCGGGGCATGGATGCCAAGCCGGGAACCCCTTGCCCCAGGGACACCCAGGAGATGCGGGACAGAGGCGACACCGCAGCGCTCTGCCCGGCCAAGCCGAGGAAAGGCGGCAGCAAACCGGAAAGCACCCGCTGAACCCGGAGGGCTCGGGGTTTAAATGTCAATTTGGACGACAGAGCGGCTTAACACGGTACCAAACCGCTGCACTGAGCCCGAAACTCAGCCTGAGCGGGGCGGACACCCGGCGCTGTTCCGCAGCTCGGGGGCTCGGCGGAGGCAGGCTCGGCTCGGGCGGGAGGCGCGGCCGCCCCGCTCCCCTGCCTGCCTGCCTGGGCTGCCGGGCGCGCTGGGGCGGGAGGTACCGTACCGGCGGGCAGGAGGCATTCCAGCGGCGTGAACGCGCGCTCCATGGCCCCGCGGCACGGGCAGGCACACGCCAAAGGCACGGAGAGCCGGGCGGGACCGGCGCCGGGGGGGCCGTACTGGCGGGGAGCAGCCGTGCCCCTTCCCGGTCTCCCCGGGGAACGCCTACAGCCACACGGCCGCGGCGGCGGCTGCGCCCGCCCTTGCAGGCGACAGGCGGCGGCGCTGCCCGGCTACCTTCGGCCACGCGTCCTCCTACATCCGCCGGCCAGGACCAGGGACCGGCACCGGGATGTGCTCGGCACCGGGGCGGCACGGCAAGCCAAGGGAATCGATGGCCGCCGCAATCCGTCGCTCGGCCATCAGCGGGAAGGAAAGGCGGGGCACGTTGATTGGCAGCGGCGGGGGCCTATGGGCGTGCGATGAAGGGGCGGGACTAAGGGAAGGCCCCGCCCCCCACAGCGCCGGTGCGCGTCTGAGGCGGGAGCGGGAAGGGACAGGGACAGGGACGGGAACAGGAGCGGCAGGGAGGGGACAGGAGCGAGCGGAGCAGTACCCGGCCTCTCTGGGCACCTGAGCAGTGCCGATCCCGGTACAGCGGCTCTGGGGAGGCCGGGAAGAGCCGCGAGCACTGGCGGCGCTGTACCGAGCGCTTGGCTCGGAGGGAAAGCCCTCAAATGGCTTTCAGCCCATGGAAACCGGAGGGAAATAAAAACTGTCCCACAAGTGCTCTGGCCTCGCATGGCGCCTGTGTGCCGGCGCCCTCGGGATGCAGGGGAAGCCGTGCCGGAGGGCTGGCAGCATCCCGGCTCTGCTGTCCCTGTGCCCTTCCAGCTCGCCAGAATGATGCGGCATTCCTAGGGGCCGCTTAAGTTTCAATTAATATCTTGTTAAATTCGTAGTGTCTCCTCACTCAGAACTCTTAATTAGGGGCGTTAATCATCTTCAGGTATAAAATGGACGACACTGCTAAATTCCAGTTTGCTCTGGTAGCATAGTGGGGCAAGTTTTGACCCCTCAAATGTGTCAGTAATGTATTTCCCCCTCCTGGAGCGGCCTCTGTCCCTGCAGGTACCCCTGTTCGGCCGCTCCATCAGGGACAGCGCGGCACGGCCTCGCCCCAGCGGCGTTCCCGGCTCCCGGCCGCACGGAGCTGAGCTCTCCCGGGAGCCGGAGGGAGCGCAGCGGCTCGGGGCCCCGCAGCAGAGGGCAGCAGAGGAGCGCCGCTCCCTCCCTCCCTCCATGTCTTCCTCCTCCTTTTCTTCCCTCTATTCCCTCCATCCTGTCCGTCCGTCCGTCCGCCCGCCGCCCCGGTAGCGCGGCTCGGAGCGGCCGGGGGAGTCCGCGGAGCCCCTCACGGAGCAGCTCTCCGGGTGTGCCCTGCGCCCCGGGGAGGACGAGACGGGAGGACAAGGTCTCCTTTCGCCTTCTGGAGAAAGCATCAGCTTCTTTCATCCAGTCCGTGGGCTGGATGCTCACAGGGGTATTCTCCAACCTTATAATTTTGTGATTGCCTGTCAGTGAGGGTTTCCAGTCAAATCGGAGGGAAATGAGACCACCATGTCAGCCCACTCTTCAGTCCATCCTGTTAGTGTGAACTTCACACTTAGATCAACATGATTTGTGTGACTTCAGTGGTGGGCTAGTCCGGACCACATTTCTAGGACAAGTTGGAGTGGCTCCAACCTGAAAGAGGGCAGGTTTAGGTCGGATATTAGGGAGAAACCCTTTATGGATTTACAGCGTGGTGAGGCAGTGGTATAGGTTGCCCAGAGCAGTTATGGATGCCCCAGCCCCGGGAGTGTTCAAGGCCAGGCTGGATGGGGCTCTGAGCAGCCTGGTCTAGTAGAATGTGTCCCTATTCATGAAAGAGGGATTGAAATGATCTAGATGACCTTGAAGGTCCATTCCAATCCATACCATTCCAGGATTCTGTGGTTACCACTTTGACTGTAGGTGCACCTTTGGTTTTAGTTGTGCAAGCGCCAGACTTTTGCTTGGACCTTTCAGATAAGCTGCCCTACCACCTACAAGAGACTACATTGTATAAGCAATTCTGGTCCACAAAGACTGCTAGAGGTTTAGAAGTATTGGAGGCATTCATGCCTTAGCAATGAGAGAAGTGAGAGATTATTGGGAAACAAGGAAAAGATATTAAGGGCTTCAAAAGATTACTGTTATTTACACTATAGAAATAAAAAATGGTTTGTTATGCTTTTGTGCCATTTAAAATTTTATTTCCTCTCCATTGAGGACTTGAACTTCAAAGGCTCTTAGGACATTGGTATCTTCTCAGTGTCCTTCAAGCTGGTTAAAAACAAACAGCATTAGGAAGAAGCTGCTTGCTGTCTTTTCCAAGAATGGAGACCATGTGGGGGCTACCATGCAGTTGGCCAATGCTCTCCTCTTCTTAATTATATTCTCTTCCACTCTGTCTCCCCACCCTGCTTCCTTTCAATTTTGACAGGCACTTTTCAGTTGCCTGGTAATACTATTAAACCTTCTCTAGGATAGCTTGTTTTTCTTCTTCAGTATCTTTCAGTGTCTCTGTCAGTATTTTTTTTTTTTAATCGCTCTTGAGGGGGTACCATCTGTTACAAAGAGTTGCTGATAAGCAGGTTCTTATGCTTGAGAAGAGTCATACTTGCTTGGAGGCAAGGTCCAATTCAGTCAGGGCCCTGTTCCTGGTAGTGTTCATTTACAAGTCTTTCTCCTCCTGTTACCCTCTTCAATTTATTTTTTCTTTTTTCTTTGTTTATTTTTTTAACTGTAAATGCAACAGTTTCCATCTCTCTATTCCCTTCATGTCCCAGAAGACGCTTTTTCCACCTCTGTCACATCTGGGCTTCCAGGCAATCCTTTACCATCCACGGCTGCAAAAAAAGTAATTGTACCTCTCTCTGCTAATCATAGTAATGCATGATTCATCACAAAAGCATTGCAGAGAGAAATCAGTCTTGAGAGACCAGGCTGGTACTAGTGTGCTTTAAATCTTTTCAAGATGAGCTCGGGTCTGCAAGGATAAGGCAAACTGCCAGCCGACTACACAATTAGGCAAAGGGCAAACAAGGCAGACACTTCTTCTCTCCCTGAACCCAGTTGTTCTTTCACTCATACAAATCTCTCATCCAGAGTATAAAGCTCTTTTTCAGAATCAGCTCCACAGGAATAACTTTAGTAGATGCTATAATGCACTGATTTTGAAGGCAGGACCTGACAGCTATTTAATACTGTTTATCAGAGCCTAACAAAGGTATCTAGTAGAGGAAATATAGCGAGCAAAATTAATAACTCCGTGCAGACTGGCACGTTGTCTTATGGATAGTCCCTTAAGAACACTGAGCAGTCAGGAGGCTGATTTCCTGGCTTGAAAAATAAGCACTTTCAACTCCTTTTTGCACTTTACATCTGTGCTAGGACATCCATTGAATTATCCTGTGAAAGGCTACCATTTAATAAACTTGGTGATATTTTTCTTGTCACACATGAGAAATTCCTCAGTAAATATTACACCTGTTTTTCCAGGTAGCATATAGATTGAGCAATACTTTTTTCCTCTAGCTGGATCTGAAACTAAACCTTTTTCCCTGTTCTTTTCCTCTGGTTGTACATGTCTACATTACTTTGCAAGGTTTGCAGAACAGCGTACAGAGAGGCTATTCAAAAAAGACATCCCTGGAGCACAGATATTGTGCTTTGATTACTACTGTCTCCTCTGATTAGCTAAAAGGAGGGCAAGTGACCTCAACCCCAAGTGAGAAAATAAACAGGCAAGCAGATGTAGTTCCTGAGTGACAGATGGGGCTGTCTGACAGAGAAAGTTTCAGAATGACAGGCAGGAAAGGTTGAGGGAGTGTTCACACCCTTTAAAGTTCCTCTGGTAGCTAAGCAGCCAGTCTTGCCTCTCACCTGAGATATTATCCACTAAGTTTTTACAGGCTTGGTGACTGGACTGCACAGAGAGAAAATGCAATTTATATATATTACTACATACATTTACATATCTAAAAGCTTGTTCCTAGTAGACTCCAGATAGCCTCCTCTTCTTCAAGAAACCTATGCTGAGAAGTGTCAGTTGGGCAGCTGCTGTGGAACAGTTATGGTGTTACTGGCACTGCTTTTCAGCACCACTAAAGCTGATCAGGTGGGAAGGGTTGAAGGGTGATTAAGAGGGCAGCAGCTTTTATTTACTCACAACATCTACTGGAACCTAGCAAGGAAAGAAAAGGGAAGTCAAACTGCTAGGGGATTTACACAACAGGGCTAAAGCCTGCAGTGTTTGCTGTTCTTCCTTAAGATGATCAATCTCTGTGTGTCCCGGTACAGATACACTGCTGAGGCTAACTTGTAGTAGCATTAGTTGCTCTCAGAATTTTTTTCCTTCTTTCAGATAGACTAATGTAATTGAGACTGAAAGATTTAGAGGTATTTGGGGACTTTGTCCAGCAAAATGACAGTGCATGTCTCTAGAATTCACAGCATAATGCCTCTCTCCCAGATGAAAGTCAAATAGGCCTAGTAATGCCAGACATGATCATTTAATGCTCTATTTTTTGCCCCCTCCCTTCTTACATTTTTCACCAAAATGAGATTCATATCTCTGTGCTTGACTGTAAGTACTTTAGGGTCTGTTCAAGGGCCATGGCAGATTTCACTAATTGGCATTCTGAAGCCTTTTGATTGGAAATTTTGTAGAATCAAAACTACCCAGGTACCTCCAGAGGTCCCTCTAGGTGATGTCTGAAACAAGCTGCTTGTAAAGCAGGGGGCATTTGTTCCTCCAGCTACTCTAATTTTATTGCTAAAAGAGAACAGTCTGTACAAGGCTGGCAATCAGGATTCATGGAACATGTAAATGTTAAGAGTACTTTCTCCTTCTCCCCACAGCTTAGCTTTATACTAAAGGGAATCCAGAGTTAAAACTAGCAAGCTGGGATGGTTCATTCTGGTACCTATTCCAGCATTTATGCAGAATAATAAGGTTGAGAATGTTTAGCTAACTCAGCTGTCTGATTGTCTGTACATCCCTAAGTGCTTGATAATTCAAAAAATGCAGGCATAAGTAGATAAATGGGATGCTTTATTATAGACATTATATCCTTGCAGTTCTCCTGTGCCAGCAATTTAAGTCCTCACAACCTTCTCAAAACTCAAACACCAATTTGAAAGGTACAGTCATTGAGGGAAAAAAAAATACCTGCAAACACAGGCAGACAGATTCTAACATATATACTCATTAAGTCCAGGTTCTGTAAC